AGATTAAATTTTAACTGGATTAAGGTATTATTAAGTTTCTGAAAGAGAAACTAGATCAGGTAGAGTAATGTTACACTCAAACTTTTTCATTAAAAACAAAAATACCTGATGGAAAAATCCCAAAGTTACTCTTTAAAATACCCCCAAATCAATGCTCTTCCACAATTAAAACAAAAGACCGCTCTGTGTGTGTGTGTGTGTGTGTGTGGGTGTATGTACACATAGAGAGAGAGAGAGAGAGAGAGAGAGAAAGAGAGATCAAATCAGTTAAGCAATGTTTTATTGATATATTTACAATTTTAAGGCAATTTAGAAGCCCACCAGTGTCTCTATCTTCATAATAAAATAAATTCTAAATATCTATACACTTTGGCATTTAATTTTGGCTTTTTTGTAATTGGCCTCTACCTGCTACACTCACCAGGATGTGCAGTGCTGAGCAGCAATGATATACCAGTGCCTTGCCCCTGCCCTTGCCCCTCACTCTTAACCCACAGCCTGCCCCGCAACCCAGTCCCCTCACTCCTAACCCACAGGGCTGGGTATGTGGGTGAAGGGTTTGTGGGTGGCTTGGGGGTGTAGGCTTTGTGGATGAATTTTGGGGAGACTGTGGGTATGGAGGGTGCTGCTCAGGATGGGTGGTTCACAGTGTGGAGGCCCATCACACAGCTCATAGATTGTCCCCCCCAGGGGCCACAGCTCCCTCCACAGGGGCTACATCCCTCCAACAGGGGCCCACAGCCACCCAACAGGGGCCAAAGTCCCCCAACAGGGGGGCTACTGCCCCTCCCACAGGGCCCATATGCCTCTGCCTGGCACCAGCCCTGCGCTCACCTCCCTGCTCAGCCCCAGCCCCCTTGCACTCACTGGTAGCAGCAGCAGCCATCAGGGCTGCTCAGGGCCTCATGGCACAGCCCCCCTGTTCTGTTACAGATATACATCGGTTTCTGATCACATATAACAGTGTAATGTCTGTACCTGGCCTGTAAGTCCTTCCCTACACCCAGAAGAGCCATTGTTTCCTTACAGTGGATTCCCATTCTGTTCTCTTATTTCCACCATAGCCATTCCTCTGCAGACATGCACTAAACTCTTTCAGTATTTTCAGTATCTGTATTCTGCAGACACTTCCCTGTTCCAACTCTTAATGAAACTATTATTCTTCACTGTAGAGAATCCAAGATTTGCAGATACTACCATCACTAGTAACAGGGGGAAATGGGACCAATCTCTTCCTAAGTTTTCCTAATACATATTTTCCATTCATTGGGTCATGCCTCCTTCCAAGTGTATGTGCACTCCCATGAAGGGGTGCCATAAGGCCTTGATTCAATTTTGTACTGAAGTCAGTGGGACAATATCCTATCTATCTCCTTATTTTAATTTGTCCCTCTCCTTTGGAAATATCAAGGTGTCTGGCTAATCTATTTACTACAAATACTCTGGCCACTGTCTGCAATCAATATAGCGGTTTTGTGTAGGACTCATTTTCAAAGGGGCATACATTTATAGGCATTCCTCTGATGGTCAATATAGTATATTATCATCATATCAATAGTAAATATAACTCTGTAAATGCAAATAATGTCATATAAATATCTATTTGCTTTACATGCAAAATCAGCTGGAGATAAAGGCAGGGAATTTCCAACATGCTTCAAGGATTTAGGACCTCAGCTCTCAACTACTTTAAAATAGGTGACTTTTGATTATCTAACTCCATTACGCCCTTTTGAAAATCTCATATTTTAAAGCATTTTTTTTTAATATTGGGCCTACAGAGTACATCTAAATACACATATGCAAAAATTCTGTGTAAGCTGTTTTTACAGTTAGCATGAGCTACATTAGCTTACTTGGGAACATCATTCTCCATAAGTAATCAAAATCTTGGTATTCTTGCATAATTAGCCTAAATCCATTTTTCTAAGAGTCATCTTTCTATGTAATAGATGGAAAGTTTACCAAACTGTGTTTCATATACTTTATCATTGAGTTAACAACTGGAAAAGACAGTTCTGAGCTAAGTACAGACAGTCAAAAAGCCCAAGGCTTAACTGATTCAGTCTTTGCAGGTTTCTCTAAACTGCGTAGGTTGAACCGATAACCACGTGAACAGGTATCCTCTTTTGATTCTGGAAATGTAGCCACATGCCCTGGCCAGAAATCTAGGGGGTGCTAGAGCTTGCCTCCCTGCTTGGCTGGTGCACACAGCTTAGGTCAAAGATAGCCTACCCACCCTGTGAGGGGGGGCTTGCAGGGACGGTGAAAAGCGTTTTGGGATGCTTGGGAACTGTGAGTTAACCTGAATGTGGGGGAGATCTGGGACAGAATTTCAATAAACTGATTTAACCTAAATCCATTAAGTCTGATACTATATCCATCCAGGTTTACCTTAAACCAGTTTCAGCTATTTTGAAAGGTTAAGAGCACTGAACTTCTGTTACAGATTTAAACCTGATTTTGACCACTTAAACCGGTTTTGGTGTAACTTCTGTCTCTAGCCTTGGAGACAATACAATCCAGATCATCCCAAGCAACACTAGTTTTCTCCAAACAAGGAAAAGGAGAGAAATAAGCAAAATTCTGTTGAAGATTCTTAGTATGAAAAAGCTTTCATCAGGACCTTGGTGAACCCAAATAACTAACCCCGGACAAATCTACCTCTACCTAACAATGCTGCTCATTCATCAGGGTGTTTTCTAGGTGGCCAACTCATGTAGGGATCCTCAAGTTAGAATCAGATTGCATGTTCTGATTGTTAGCCCTAAGTATGGGATTAGATGTTTGGGAATCCTCTGAATATTTTTGACAATATAATACTAGGATGTAACATATATATTTCAGTATATGTTAAAGGGAATTAGACACTGGAAGAAATTTAGATGCAATAAAAAAGCCATTCTCAAATAAGAAAGCTGAAAGCAATCCATTTTGCATGTGGAAAAGACTTTTTCATAACTATTTTTGTCCTCTCTCTTCCTGTACCCCTCCCAAAACAACTGTCACAAGCATCTGCTTAGATAAAGAGAAAGACATGTAAGCAAATTTAAAAACAGAATGCATTTTTCTTATGTTTTTACACAGCTTCCAGTGTATGGGTGTTGTTCTCTAGGACAACAGATTGAGCAGTAAATCAACCACTGAAGTGTTTGGCATGCTGACATAATCTTAAAATGAATTTAGGGGGAGGTTTCAAAGACACAATGAGGTGGCAAGTACCCAACTCTTGGTGATTTTTGTTCAAACAGTGTTTTAGAATGACTGAAATCTGGAATTCTCCATGCCCATTCTGCTAGGTTTCCTTGTGGATGTTGCCAACAAGAGTGCCATAGATATGGGTATTTTACATTGATTCTACATTGATAGCTGTCTCTTAGAACTGAGATGACCAACACAACAGAAAACAGCTAAAATAGTTCCAGCTTTCTATCAGAACTAAGCAAGGTCATATTTAAACCAGTAACAGAGAAGTTAAACGTTTTGCATTCATCTTTCCTGATGCCTGGTAAAATTAACTCTGTCTTGAAGAAATGCTAGTATGTCATGGAGATATTTTGTAGAAAATATTGGAGTATTAAAAGAAATTAAGGAATAAGAGGAATAAACAGGCTTACTAAGCAATGAAATTTAAGAGTATAAAATCTTTTTTCATGGAAATAATAGATTGCTGACGTAGACAGTCCCAAGAGTAAGCAGTAACACAGATACTTTATTCATCACTCATTCATTTTTGCTTTAGTGAACAAGACAATAAATATATATAGCATACTTTCCCCTCTCTGCTTGGGAGGAAATATTCTGGTTAACATAGCAGTATAAAAGAATAGATCATGTAAAAAAGTACAGATCAGTGAGAATAAAACAACAAAAAGAATAGTTCCCTACCCATTACTTCCCACTGTGTGAACTTTTGACATATCCGCAAACTCTTCCTTTCGCTTGCTACTACTGTTGTACTGCTCACTGTACAGCTTTAAGGACATCTGTTCAACAGCATCTCTTTGTGCTTCCAGATAGCATAGCTGAACCTCAGCCTAGAGAAAGAAAAAAAAAGAGGGAAAAAACCTTTTCTTTTTTTATTCAGAAGGAATGCATTTAAAATAACTGTTTTTAAACTTAACAATCTAAAAAAGAGGACTATTCACACTATTCTTTCTATCTTTTCATGATACTTTAAAAGTCTGGTCTTATAAATAGGATGACTGCACTGTTTATTGTCTGGTATTAGATCTGGGTTATTTAGTTTGCTATCACAGAATGGCCTGTATATCCCAGGAGGTTTATATCCAGTTAAGATGCTGAATAAAGATTTCTGTGCGAGTGAGAGAGATGGATTAAAATGTTATACTGTGAAAGAGAGCAGCTAAATATACAAAATAAATTATGTTGCAAGTTTCAGAAGCTCATTTTCACCTTGTTTATAAACTACCTTATGCTTCAGAGTTAAATATACCTGTACTTTTGTAAGTTTGCTTAAAATATATTAATGGCAAATAAAAATAAAGGATGAGGATTTTCTCTTGGTTTTTCTCTACTTTGCTTCCACTGATTACTCAACAGTTTTGACTGGCAAGAAGAGACAGTAAGGTAGATGTGCTGTTTTCCATCAGATTATGGACCTGGCTATTTCAAAACTTATTGAAAAGATACTTTATTAATTGCAGCTGTGGTGATTCTGGAGCTCAGAGCACCAGATGACACAGGGATGAAGTCTGCTCTGTGATGTACTTGCCCTTGGGTAGCAGAGGCAAGAATTAATTAAAAAGTACTTTGGGACCAATACACTATTGTTTTCTTTTAATATATTCCGCTAAAGTAAAAAAACACATTAAAATTCAAAAACTGTTACTATGTTATAACTTAATTCTGTATTTCCATTAGTAAGAACAAGATGAGTAAACCCTGTGGTAGGGCAGCATGGTGAATGCACTGGCATGGAGGAAACCTCGCTTAGACATTATCTCGAATTTCACTCTGTGGGAACATCCGCACATGCAGGCATGTGCACTCGCAGCAGCTCATATAGGAGCGGCACAAATTTTTGCCTCAGCACACGTGCTCGGACATGCACTTTGGTGTGGGGCAAGTTGTGCCACTTGGGGCAAAATAACCCTGCCCAGCTACTCCAGAACTGCAGCCAGGGGAGCTAGAGCCTAGCAGTATAAAAACCTGCCATGGCTAGCAGCTCAGGGCTATTTGCCCTCAGGAGCTTCTGAGGCCCAGCCAGTTGGTATCTGGGGATATTACCCCTTGTGCCAGCTGGACTGCTGAGGCAGCCCTAACCTGGAGTGGCTCCTGCCCCCTCTACCCACTGCAGCAGTCTGGCAGTGGGGGCTGCTGCCTGGCTGTGACCTGCTGCCACCTGCGACAACATCTGTCCCCTCGGACCTGTGGCCCCATGACTGCATGCCTGCCAGACTCAGATGGGGTGCCCCTACTCTACCATCTGGGCAGCTATCACCCAGAAGATGTACTCCTTGTAGTGGCCCATTTTGAACTGTCCAAGTGTGTCCTCTTGGCCCCAAATGGCCAACACATTAGCCACCTTTTCTGTCCTCCAGCTGCGTCCCCAGTGCTGGCCCTGGACAAGCTCCTCTGCCTGAGTCTTACCACTTGTCTCACCAGCAGAAATCCTAGCATTCTCTGTTTAAAAATTGCAAATTCTCTAATAAGAAACCCAAATTATTTCATTAAAATACCCAAAATAGTGTTCTTTTGCTACTGAAATGAAATGCCACTATATAAAGAGAGATCAGTTGGGCAACATTTTATTGATATATTTACAAGTTTAAAGCAATTTGGAACCCTACCAGTGCCTCTATTATCATAAATAAATAAATTATAAATATCTATACACTGGCATTTACATTTGGCTTTTTTGTCATAGAAAAATCAGAGCTGCCCCTCCCCCCTTTGCTCACTGGGATGTGCAGCACTGAGCAACACTGATATGCCAGTGCCCTGCCCCTGCCCCTGTCCTTGCCCCTCATTCTCAACACACAGCCTGAAGCCCACCCCATTCCCCACACTCATGACCCACAAGACAAGGTATGTGGAAGAGGGGTTTGTGGGGGTGGCTTGGAGGTGTGGGGTTTGTGAGTGCATTGTAGGGGGACTGTGGTGTGGGGGGGCTGTGTGGAGGGGGCTGCTCAGGAGGCTGAGTCCCTTGCCCCCCACAGCATGCAGCACCCCCACCTCACAGACTGCCCCTCAAGAGGGGCCACAGACACCGAACAGGGGCCACGGCCCCCTACCCCCCATAAGGGCTACAGCACCCCCACAGGGTCCAGAGTCTCCCTGCAGGGGCTACAGCATCCTCCCCACAGAGTCCTAGCCCCCCCTGCATGGTCCACAGCTCACCTGCAGCAGCAACAGCCATCGGGGTGCTTGGGGCCTCCTGGCATAGCCTCCCCATATGGCACTGGGCAGCACAGCTTGGTCCTGGTTGCCTGGCACCCGGTACAGCCTGTGCCATATTGTGTGAGCCCTGCCCAGCCTGGCACAGCACCATGCACTTTCAGGCAGCTCTGGCCCACTCAGGCTGTCACCCAGGGCCCCGTGCCACTTGCAGAGACCATCTGTCATGTTAGGCTGGGCCCTGTATGCACCACCACAGCTCCTCTGCTCCAGTGCCCCCCACCCCCAGTCTCTGACAGAGCCAGGGTCCATGCAGCCTGTACTGGTCCAGGCTGCCCCACATGTGGAGGCAGTGTACTTCAGCACTGGGGCAAGGGGCAGCCATAGAGAAGCTCTGCTGGCTACAAGAGCATCTCTTTAGAGGACCCGAGTCTCCAGTTGCTTCAGGGCATGGTTCTGGACCGTGCTCTGCCCCACTTTTTTCTGCAGGTTTTTTTTTTTAATACCTGAATATTCTGGTATCAAATTTTGAGCCCCTGCTGCAAATATGCAGTGTGGGCAACTTTTTTTGTTCCCAGTCTGCCTCTTGCCACGTCTCAAATTGCTTTGAGACGTGGCAAGAGGCAAGTGCGGGCTCATCTGGATGTACCCATGAGGCAGTGAAAAAAGGTGTTGGCTCTATGTCAACTTTATCCAGATGCCAACTGTAAAGGGACAATAGATTAAAGGCCTAAAACCAGAAAGGAAAACATACTAATTCCACTAAGAAAGGGATATAAGATGCATCATATTTGGATACCCATGTTGAGTAATATAAATAAAATAATGCCAGTAGCATATGAAACTTTTTGATACTTATGAAGGCCACATAGAGGCATTTCATTTCTACTGGGAGAATCACTGCTGTCCTGGGAGAAACTACAAGTGTACATTCAATTTCTTCCAGGAGGAAACATGTCCTCTTCCTCACAAAAATGAAAATGAATGCTGTTTGACCTAGGTGGGCAGGGGAAAAGTAGGGCAATGCTCCTTCCCTTTTCCCCAAACTGGGCACAGCCTAGGCTTGGGGATTTGCCTTGCTTCTCTCAACCTCTCCTGGACTAATTCAGGGGCAGGAGGAGAGCTACTGATGCTCTTGCCTCTTCCCCAAACTGGGGACTGCTAGGTGGGCAGCAGGGGTGGCTATGGTGGGGCTGGGACTAGGGAGGCTGTCCCCAAGCCTGCCTTGCAGCCCAACTGGCTTCCCCTCACTGTCCCTGCCACCTAGCTGGATGGTGGAGAGTATAATTTAGAAGCCTATGGGGCTGGGATAATTCTTCCCACACTTCCCCAGACCAAGGACTGCCTGGTTAGGGAAATAGGCTGAGGGTTTGTTCCTCTGCTCTACTTCCCTCACATATTGGTCTATAGGAGGGGAGAGAAGAGGTAGAGAAAGTCCTCCACCAATCCCCTAGACCTTTGATTTGGGGAAGCAATTGGAGCCTTTCCCAGCTGCTTTACTCGCTCCAGGGAATAGGAGGAGTGGAATTGCCACTGGTCCCTATACCTTCCTCAGACATGTCTACCACTATAAATGAATGTCGGTTCATCGCCCTAATTATGGGGTTGTCTGAATTACATTTTTTAAATAATTTGTTCGTAATCAAACTGATCACTAATTTGGAAATCACAAATTCACTTGCTTGTCTCAAATAAATATAAAACTACCAACCAACCAAACAACCCCCCTCCACCAAAAAAAAGCTTTATTTTAAAGCATTGCGCTTGGCACATCTACACCTCTGAATGGGAAATGTTTACATTGCTTTCTTTGAAGCAAACTGATTAGAAATGATATTATTTACTACACATATATGTAAATGGCATACACAATATGTTTCTTTACTGATTTTCAGCCTAGACATTTATATTATAGCTTATATTGATATTATTTATATTATTATTTATATTAAGTTACAGTTTATATTTATATTATAATTTATATTATAGTATTATAGTCCAAGTGATCACAAGTGTGCAGTCACTCTTGAAGAGGTATTAACTTGCTTTTGCAATCTTCTAGTCCTTAGGATCTGCTTGTTTCATATCATACAGCACATTTATTGCCTCTACAAAATTTTGATTTCACATGCAAGTTGAACACAGAGCAACACACATTTCTTGCAATAAAAACTCTCTTAACTTTACAACTTGTCATCTATGTAGTAGTTTATATGATGTTAAAGCTAATCTAAAATTCAAACAACAATACAGCAGATACACTTAACAGTAGAAAGGCAGTTGAATATTAATTAATTATGGAAACTGTATATAGTTACCAATGAATACATGTACTGATCAGAACATCCTGTTGGGAATACATCTACTCTTATCTGGTTTTACAAGATAAACTAGTTGGAACTGGCTGGTACTCTAAGATCTCCAAAGAAAAATGGATCTGTTGTACATAGACTACTGTCTACAGACCCCCCAAAAAGACTACACATAATAGTGAAAGCAGATTTTTCTTTAGCTTGACAAATAGCCCCCTTCTCTTGAAAACAGAAGTTCCTGGTTAAATTTCTTTCTGAAATGGATTCTTCATCAACAAGAATAATTTTTCACTGGATGTTTGCTTACTTTGGGGTCTTTCTGTATTCTGCACTGTCCACATCAGGCTTTGCATTTGCTCTTTTAA